TCCATAGTTTTTAATTAAAATTGTCCGTACCCTGATTTAATGGCTCCATAAAGCATCTTGGCTTACTCTGCCTCAGGTAAATGAAAATATTTGCTGTGGCAAATAGGACTATTAGTTTTACGATCCGTAGCAATAAAAAGCTTTTATCAGGAATGTCGTCAGAAGAGGCATAAAAACCGTGTCCGTGTAGAACCACTGATACGTCTGAGGAGTTGTGCTTTGATTCCCGAGTCTCTGTAGGAGAGGGTGTTAGCAGCATTTAAATAACTGCAGGCACTGCCAGGATGGCAGAGGGACTGCTGGATGTGGTTTTGGGGCAGGAGGGAGCGTTTGGGAGCGGGGTGAGTGAGGAGCATCCTCCCACATCCAGGTCAGCCCGGGCTGTGCTGGGGGGGGTTTGTTTGCAGCTGCTTCCCCTACAAACGGAGCTCTGCTCACATCTCTCTGTGTTGTGCTGCTGTTTGCTGCCTCCCCGAATCCTTCTGATCTGCTATTCCCCAAAGGTACCAGCCGTCCCCTCCTCCAATTCCTGGCAGATTTAGGGAGTGGTTCCCATGGCGACGGGGGAGGAATTGGATCTGCAGCCCAGCTGGGATCAATCCCAGCTGCCTCCTCCTCCTCCTCCTGAGCAGTCAGCGTATTTTTAATAAAGTGACCGTGTACAGGAGGCATGTCTTTGTCTTGTTAAGCCTTTGTTGTGTATTAAATCCTGAGGGCTTTCACCATAATCTGCTGGGCTCACAAGCTTTACAAATCCTGCCCTTACTCGGAGAGCTGGGGGCATTAGACCCAGCAGAGATTTTTTTTTCCCGATGATTTTTATTTCTGCAATTTAGTTGAGTCGGAGAACTGTTCCTAGAAATGAATGAAAATAAAGGTACAGTCTTTAGCAAGGGAACACAGGGAATATTTCCAGCTGATTTCATCCCTGTTGTGCTTTATTTTATGCTGCATTTTCCCTGAGCCTCACCTGCACGTTGTGGTGATGCACCATTGCAGGGTTACTGTGACAGGAGTGACACGAGGACAGGGATTGCTGCCATGGCAGGGACTCTGCTGCCTCCCAGGCAAATATATCCCAGTTCCCTGTGTTCCAAGCCAGGAGTGGTGCCTGTCAGAGAGAGCCCTGAGAACCAGGGGAGTTTGGGTATTATCGGGGCTCCAAAGGTGAGCAGAGAGCTGAGGTGCTCTTGGCAGAGAGAACTGGCTGGGAAGGGTCTGACGTGGCCCCCAGTGCTGGAGTGAGATGGGACCATTCCTGCTGGGCAGCCAAGGATTTAGATCCTTTTTGAGTTCCAAGGCTCAGACTGGGACCTTGTGAGGGTCAGTGCTGAAGGGCTGGCAGGCTGGAAAGCAGGGATGTTTTATGGGAAGGGAAGGATGGGGGGGATGAGCTCTCCTTTATCCATGGACACAACCCCACGGTAGATTTGCATTACTGCAGATTTGTCCTGAGTGTATTGAGTGTTCCAAGACATTCCCTTTGCATGGACACAGGCAGATGTTCCAGACTGGGAGTGTGGCTGCAGGTCACTCACACTCTGCTTCCCTGGAGTCCCTGCGAGTTTGGGCAGACAGGGAGCCAATACCCAGCACTGAACCCCCTTCCCTCTGCTGCAAGTGGCACCTTATTTACCCCCCAGGTAAACCCTGCTGTGTTAGGCTCAGCCTTAGCCCAGCAGGGTACAGCCTCCCTGCCTATTACCCAAATCAGGGCTTAATTTGAGCTCGTTTCTTTTGTTGAAATGCAAAACTAATTATATTTAACTACAGATGAACAGGAAGTTGCATTAGCAATTTTTTTTTTTTTTTTAAATCAATAGGGAATTATTCAGCATTATTTGGGGGCTGGGGAACTTTGTAACCAGATAAAAGATATGGGGGAGGGCAGAGCTATAAAAAGTGTTATTGTGTGATTATGAAGAGGCCTTTTAATGCAGTTATTATGTGATGCTAAAAAGGCCTTTATTGCTTGAAGTTGGAAGTGGAATACAAATGGGCTCCCAGTGTCTATTAAATGAAGAGTGGAAAAAATAGTCTCCGTTTGCCTGAACTGCAAAGCAAAAATACCGATTAAATAGTGATTAAAACCCGTGGCAGGGCTGGGTCTGTTGGTTTGGTCACACACTGAGCAGCAAAGTTTAGCGAGCAGGGAGCAATTGTTGGTGTAATTGCAGGCACAGTTCGTGGTTCTGATGGGCCTGTTTGTCCAGGTTGTGGTGTCAGCAAAGCAAGGGCTGGCTCAGGCAGTCGGGGCTGGGTTCCCCCTGGTGTCAGATGAGCTCGGATGGGCTCGGTGGGAGTCACTCAGAGGAACATTTCTGCTCAGATTGTAGCTGGTTTCCACAGGTTACCTTCAGCATCCCCTGGGCTCTTTGGTGCCCGGTTTCATCTCCAGGGATCTGGCCTTTTGTAGGACAAAGCCTGAACGCTGTTGGCAAACACTGTGAGGACAAAACCCAGGGCTGGAGCAGCCCCACAGCCTGTCCAGTCTCCTGCACAGACCCACCGTCAGAAGACACAAAAGGCTAAAAAAAGCCAGGTAGAGTTTTGTTCCTTGACATCTCTGGCGGAGTGGAAGTGTTGAGGGTTTCTGGAGTGTGTTTTGTGCCTTTAGTAAGTACCTTTGGTGTGTTTCTGCACAGATGAGCCCTGGGAATTTCCTCTCCCAGTGGAAACTGGAGTAAAATAGCACTTGAAACAGCAGTTAGGTTTTGATCTACCTTGGGGTACTTGAGCATCTTGTTCCTGGATTAAATTAAAGAAGCTGAAGTGTGGTGTGAAGCAGGTTTGTTAATACTGGCTCTCTGGTTCCTGCTGCTCACCAGGTCACTGTTTCTGTCCCTTGGCAGTTTCTGGGTTTGAAAAGTGCTTTTCTGGAGTCAGTAATAACTGACTAAGGAGGTTTCCCCTGTGCCTCCCTCCCATCACAGCTGAAGGGGCTGTGCTGACGTGCAGGGGGATTGGTGGTGAAGGAATTGCTGCCCCTCTGCACAACCTTTGCAGAAGTGCTCTTTCTTAGGCCAGTAATGATGAGATTTAATGATAACTTTGCTGCTGGTGGAGCAGAGGGAGCAGTGACTGAGTGAGGCATATATAATCAGGGATGTCCTTCCTTTGCTCCTTTCTAAGGCTCCAAAGAGTTTTGCCTTCCTGTGTCCCAGGGGTGGTTTCCAGGTTTCATTCTCTTGAAACTCTTAAATGCACAGAAGGAGCTGAGCCCTTGGAAAAAAATAAGTGAAAGTGTTGAGAGCTGAGTGTTGCCTGGGCTCAGATCTCTTGCCTGGCCCTTTTGGCTGTCATTACAGTGAGATATTCCCAGGTTGTGTGGTTTCCTCCCATTCTTTGCATCTGCTGTGGCACAGACATGCATAAAAAAAGATGTGAGGTAGAGCCCAGATGCCAAATTTGGGGGTGATGAAAAGTTCAGTGCTTTACACAGAGCCTTTTTTCTCCTTTCTAGCTGTAACAGAAAGCACCTGAGAATGGAATGAAAGGCATTAATAACCCCAGCCTGTGCCACTGCCTTCCCAGCAGGCAGCGACTCTCACAAGTGCAGAAGAGGGCCAGTGGTGTGTTTATACAGTGTAGGGTGGCAAAAAAAAAGAAGGGGGGGATGAATTTATATTAGATCTCAATTAGCTCAAAGCCATTTTACCAGCACCCCGTGGTCTGATAGCAGTGCTTGCCTGAGGAGAAAGCAAGCTGCTGGCTGGGCTGAGAGCCCTTCCTTGGGCTGAGATGGCAGTTCTGTGGAGAATTCAATCTCAACGTCATTGTGTTCCAGCTGCAGGGCTCAGCCAGGCCAGGAGGGGCTGGAATGAGCCTCTTGCTGTTCCTCAGGGCATCCAGGGGTACTTGAATGTCCCCCTCTGGCAGGCTCTGGGCTGGGCAGACCTGTGAACGTGGCCAGACCTGGAGCACACAGTGCTCCCAACTCTGCTGTCAGCTGAGTCTGGGCTGGGTTGTTTCTGTTCACTGCTGTACCCCAGCCTGTTGGGCTGGAACACCAGCACTTATCAGCACAGCCTGCTGAAATCCAGGGAGAGCAAAGCCAGAGATGTGGCCCGGACCTTGCCCCGGGACCGTCCTTTGCAGGGCTCCACTGGCTCCCATGAATTGCTTCCCGTTTCCCTGTGAGCAGAAGTGCTGTGTCACAGTGGCTGTTGGCTGCAGGAATGTGCTCAGACCATCCTGATGGTTCTGTCCTTCTTTACTGAGGGCAGGCAGTGCTCCTTCAGCTGTGTGTGGCTGCAGCCTTAATGCCTAACCCCCCCATCCATATGTTTCCCGAGTACTTTAAGGAATGTTGCCATTGGCACACACAGTCAGGTTTTAATTTCTCAAGCAGTGCATGTTCCTTGAAAATCCAGGTGTGTTTGGCAGCTAAAATAACACCTCTGTGGTCTGGAGGTAAAATGAGCTGCTCTGGGAGAGGGATTTTCATGCACTACAGCGTGAAAACACCGGGAGGGGGTTTTTGAAAGAAAACCTATTCATTTTGGTGTCCTCAAATTCAACTTGACCTGGGCTTGTTAGGCCACAGATCTGCTGTGGAATTAAGCTATAGCTGGAGGAAAGCCAGAATCCAATTACATTTTCTGCCTAATGGGTCATAATTTATGCAATGAAGAAGGCAGGGATGTTGCTGGGGGGAAAAGGGCACTGGATGTGCGTGGATGTGCACTGGGCAGGGCTGGGTGTGAATGGACATGGAAATGGGGACCTGTGCTGGATGTGGAAATGGGGACCTGTGCTGGACGTGGAAATGGGGACCTGTGCTGGACGTGGAAATGGGGACCTGTGCTGGACGTGGAATTGGGGGCCTGTGCTGTCCTTTCTCACTTGTTTAGTACCAGTGTAATTCAGATCAGAAAATGAGTGTTATACTGGACTCTGCTGAATAAAGGAGCTGTAGGGGTTGGAAGGCCAGCAAGGCTTTTTTACTGAAGACCACTCCTGTTGTTTAACCACCCCCTGTGTGCTCTTCTCTTTCCCAGCCTCTCTACAAGTGGACATCGTTCCGAGTCAGGGGGAGATCAGCGTTGGAGAGTCCAAGTTCTTCTTATGTCAAGGTGAGTGCTGGCCTAAGGCATTGCCCGTGTCAGGGTGGGTTTAGTTTGGTGGTGGCAGCGCTTTGGAAGCGGGACTGTGCTCTGAGGGGTGATATTTGCTGTAGCAGGACTCGCAAGGCCGAGGAGCACAGGGCTGGGCTCAGTGTGGTGTTGTGTTCTCCCCTCTCCCCCGCAGTGGCAGGGGAGGCCAAGCACAAGGACATCTCGTGGTTCTCCCCGAACGGGGAGAGGCTGACGCCGAACCAGCAGCGCATCTCGGTGGTGCGGAACGATGACTTCTCCTCCACCCTCACCATCTACAACGCCAACATCGACGACGCCGGCATCTACAAGTGCGTGGTCAGCAGCGCCGACGAGGGCGACTCCGAGGCCACCGTCAACGTCAAGATCTTTCGTAAGGCCCCGGGGCCCCGCTCGTGGGGCAACAGCAGGAGGCAAGCCCTGTGCCTCCCTGGAAAAGGCTGGGCTTAAAGGGGGGGAAGGAGGGTGAAAAGAAAGGGACTGCGGAGAAGGTGCAGCCTCCTCCTCCTCCTCCCTGGGTTTTGGGGGTTAATGGGAACTGGACCCGTGGTCTGCTCGCCGGCATGTCTGTGCTGAAATCCTTCAGAAAGGCAGGGCTGGGAATTCTTCAGAGAGCAAGGGGTGGAAGGAGAAGGTTCTGGCGCTTCCTGAGTGTCCAGGAGGAGAAACCAGAGGGAGCAGCTGTTGTGGGTGACAGACATGCTGTGGGGCTGCTCTGGTGTTGAGTGAAGGGGCCCACACGTTCACCAGGTTTATAATAAGCCATCAGTATGTTGGCCAGCAGAGCCACGAGAGCAGCTTCTCCCCTTCCTGCTGGGAAGCTGAGCAGTTCCAAGGTCACAGTTTGCAGTGTGGGTTATTTAGGGAATGGATTTGGCCCACTGATATTCCTGGGGGACAGGGCTGGAGAATGGGGCAGTGCATTCAATCAGACACACCTTTATCCTCCCCTTGGCAACAAGATGATTTCCAGGGGGTTTGGGGCCCTCTGGGGTTTCTTTGCTTCCCTCAGGCTTGAGTCAGGAGCACAGCTCGAGGTGTGCTGGGAAAGCTGCAGTGACTCTCTCCTTCCCTTGCTTTCAGAAAAGCTGATGTTCAAGAACGCTCCCACCCCCCAGGAATTCAAGGAAGGGGACGATGCTGTGATCGTGTGTGACGTGGTCAGCTCGCTGCCTCCCACCATCATCTGGAAGCACAAAGGCAGGGATGTCATCCTAAAAAAAGATGGTAAGGCCTTGGTGCTCGTCCGTTCAGGGCTCCAGTGTCCATCTCCCATCAGCTCAGATCAGGCTCACACACAGAATGGATGGTGGGCACCAGGGAAAGGGGGAGCAGTTTGTGCCTGGCACTGGGTGTGAGTTCAGTTGGTCAGGGTGCTGTGGTTTGCCAGTGGCAGGGCAGCAATGTTCCCACAGAAATGACCATCAGGTTTTGACACTGGAATAAGCAAAGAATGCTAAAGAGAAAACAATCAGATAAAAGAAGTGCCATCAGACAGAAAAGCTGGATGTTGTGACACTCGCCAGCCTTCCTGAGGAAAAGGGGCTAAAAGCTCCTTGCAGGAACCTTTCCCTTTCTTCCACAAAGCTGCAGCCAGCCATGCCCAGAGGGGCACTTCACTGGCAGAGGGGCCTCCAAAGCCCTGATTCCAGCTGTGCCTCAGCTGGGTTTGTCACACCTACCTGCTGCAGGCACACAGATAGGAGGGCAGTAAAGCCTTCAGCGTATTGCCTGCTCTGCTGAAATGTAGATGTGTTCCTGTGGATTATCCCTGAGTGCTTACACTGCCCAGCACCAGCCCTTGGCTGCTCTCCACAGCCGGGTTCCTTCCTTGGCACCGTCAGACCCAGCTGCAGCAGCATCTCCCTTTGGTGGTGGGAAGGGCAGTTCCACCCCACCAATCCTTGTCTCAACCCAGAAGGGGCCCAGAGAGGAGCAGAAGCTGCAGAGAGCTGCCCTGAGGCCCCCTGGGTGAGTCTCCCTTCTGTCTTTGCAGTGCGGTTCATAGTCCTGTCCAACAACTACCTGCAGATCCGGGGCATCAAGAAGACGGATGAGGGGACGTACAGGTGTGAGGGGAGGATCTTGGCTCGGGGAGAGATCAACTTCAAGGACATCCAGGTCATTGTGAATGGTGAGAGCTCAGAGTAAGGCTGGTGCAGAGCAGGGGGTGAGAACCTCACTGTGGGAGTTCTCATCTGATGGAAACCGAGCTGAAATGTCCCGTGACTGAGAGTGAGGAATTGAGCCTGGTGGGACTCACAAGTGCTTTTGTCCACCACAGTGATTTTTTTTTTTTTTGTGCCTCTCCCAACCCCTTGCCCTTTGTTCCCTGTACTGGTTGCTTTGGAGAGCTCGTGCATCAAACCTGTTGATTGAAACCTGCAGGGGATGGTGGAAGGGTTTGAGTAACTGGTGACATCTGTGGTTATTGCAGAGATGCACAAGGAGCCTCCTGAGGCTCCCTCTTGCTCAACCTTCTGTCCTTTCTAACTCAGATGTGGATTTCTTCTCTTCCAGTACCTCCTTCTGTGCGTGCCAGGCAGAGCACTATGAATGCCACTGCCAACCTCAGCCAGTCTGTCACCTTGGCATGTGATGCTGATGGTTTTCCTGAGCCAACCGTGACGTGGACAAAGTAAGATGTTGTGTGCAGTGTCCTGGGGGTGATTCCCCAAGGCCTGGAAAACCAGGCTGGAGGGGAAAAACCATCTTAACTGGAATGAAATGAATGGATTTGATTCACAAGAGAAAGGGTGGACTCATGATGGAACTGAAGTTGGATTCTGCTGTGGGTTAAACCCTGGTGGGCAGCCGAGTCCCACACAGCCCACTTGGGGGGAGTGGGATGGGGAGGAGAATCAGAAGGGTAAAAAACCTTGTTGGTTGAGATAAAGGCAGTCTAACAGATAAAGCAAAAGCTGTGCATGCCAGCAAAGCAAACCAAGGAATTCATGCAGTGCTTGCCCCTGGCAGGCAGGTGCTCAGCCAGGTCAGCTGGTTTGGCCGTGTCCCCTCCCAGCCTTGCATGGCAGTGCCAGGCAGTGCTGCACACCTGAGGATCACTGTCCTTGGGGTTGTGGAGCCTTTGACTGCTGCTCCCCACCACACCCACGTGCTTTGTGCCCCCAGGGATGGAGAGCCCGTGGAGGAGGCTGACGATGAGGAGAAATACAGCTTCAACTACGACGGCTCGGAGCTGGTCATCAGGCAGGTGGACAAGAGCGACGAGGCCGAGTACATCTGCATCGCTGAGAACAAGGCAGGGGAGGCAGATGCCACCATCCACCTCAAAGTCTTCGGTAGGAATGCTCTTCCCATCCCCCTCCCACTCCAGGCCGTGTTGGCAGCTCACCAGTGCAAGCTGGAAGTAACCTACTTATCCCAGTTAATGCCTGGCAGGGCTTATCCAGAGCTGCTGCTTCCCCAAGGAATGCTGTGCTCCTCTGCCATCGTGTGTGTGTGTCTGAAACACAGCCCAGCTCCATCCTGCTTCCCCTCTGAGGAGAGAAATCCAGCCCTGGGCAGGGGGGCTGTGATGAGGCTCACATGCTACCTGAAATATCTTCCAGGCCCAGAGGGCTGAATCCTGATCCACCCAAAGCTGCTTTAGCACCTCAGTAGGAATTGCTCTAACCTGGACAGGGAGGTGAACTCCACCCCACCACTGTGTGAGTGACCTCAAGCTTGCAGGGATGAATCAGCAGCTTTCCTGCCTTCTATGAATCTGGGAGTGTTAAGGAATATAATTCTCCCTGTCCCATATGCAGCCACTCAACAAAGCTGCTTATCAAAAGGCTGATTTGGGGCAGAGAAAGTAGACAGGGAGGTGGAAGATTCAGCTGGTAATCCCAGGGACTGATCACTTGTACACTGTTAAATGGGTTCTACTTCACATACACCCTCTCCTAGTCCTCTCTTACAAGCCTCAGCTGGAAGCATGAATAGAAGAGGTTCTAGTTCTGCCAGGAGGTGCCTCTTCTCCAGCACCACTCTGCTCCTTCCCTGCATGGCAGTGAGCTTGTCACCATTCCAAAGCCTTTTCCCCCAGTGCTGCCTGTCCCAAACGTTGCTGTTGGCAGATGAGCTTCATCCCGAGCCCCAACCTGAATCAGGGTTGCTTTTTCTTCCCAGCAAAACCCAAAATCACCTATGTGGAAAACAAAACAGCCATGGAGCTGGAGGATCAGATCACCCTGACCTGCGAGGCCTCCGGGGACCCCATCCCTTCCATCACCTGGAGAACCTCCACCCGCAACATCAGCAACGAGGAGAAGGTACAGCCCTTCCCAGAGCCTTGGGATCTCCCTGGGGGATCAGCACAGCCCCTGCCTGCCTGCCCTGCTCCCCTGGGCTGCATGAGCTGCACGGGGATGCACGTGGAAGTCCCGGGGGTTCCCTCTCTTGGGAGCACACCCTGTCTGCCCAGGGCTCAGCTCCACCCCTGCAGCAGTGCCACTGGGGTCCTTTTGGAAAGAGCCACCTCTGTCTGTAAGAACTGAGGATATGCTTTGGAATTCCTGCTGGATCACTCGGGGTTGGATTAACCTGAAGAGCAGTGCAGTCTAAACCCTCTCCAGAGGAGTTTCCAGAGGGACCTACAGTTGCAGGAAGGTTGTGAAAGGGTTTTTCCCTCCCGTGTCCCAGCTGGGAATGAGCACCCTGATGGCAGCATTGTCAGTGACTGGGAGGGTGGCAGGGCTGAGCTGTGGGCTGTCCCCTCTCAGAGGTGCAGTGGACCAAAATGAGCCTGTTCATTCCTTCTCGCCCTTCCGTGTTGTACTCTGGTACTGCACATTCCTGAAGCACAAAAGCCTGGCAGCCTTTGTGCTCACCTGTTTTGTTGATCACATCAATGCCATTTTGTTCTTTAAAGGCAAAAATAATTAGCAGTTTTTCTTTTAGAGGAGAGTGCTGGTGTTGTTACTGGCTACAATTCCTTCAATTAGACAAGATGAGGATGTGCTGCTTTACTGTAGATGTTTCATAATAGTTGCATAAGTGATCAGCAGGCATAATTTGGAGCTAAAGAAAGCCTAGATAAAAGCTGGAGTGAGGAGTTGTTGCTTATTAATAATCTTCTAATAACAGGATGCTTCAGGGCTCAGCTGCCTTGGCCATGCCAGGGGTTCTGGCTCAGTGTGAAGGCAGCAGGGGACAGACTGTGAAAGTCTGGGAGCAACAGAGGTGTCCACTGTCAGTTGTCCCCACAGCTGCCATCCTGCACTGGAGCTCCTAAATGAGCTTTTTTTAATTGCCCCCATGATGTCAGCTCTCCCCCACGCTGTTCATGTGTAACTTATTAATCAGAGTGCCAAAGTTTTCCAGCTTCAGTTCTTTCTCAGCATCTTTGGGGTGGGAGGGCTGCTGTGAATCCCTGCAATGTTCACAGAGGGTTCCAGTGCCCTCAGAAGCTGTTGGCTTGTCCCTGCAGTGTGACTGGGGCACCTGTTTGGACAGGGGAAGGTTATTTATTCATGGTCTTGTCTCTGTCCAGGAGGGTCCTGGGAGGAGCCCGGGGCTCCAGAGCTGCTGGCTCTGCAGTTGGGGTCACAGCCATGGGAAGAGCTTTGTCAGGGAGGAGAATATAAAAACTAAAGCCTGCCTGTTTGCAGGGCCCCCTCTGCCCAGCCCAGTTAAACCCTCCAGATCTCAGTGGCAAAACTGCTAACTCATTTTTGCTGATTTTTGAGACTCATATATCCTGCTTGATGCTGTGGCTGAGCAATAGTACAGAAAATGGTGATTCTCTGATACTTTCTTATACAGGCAGGGGGAAAATCCAAGGTTTGAGGTGCAGCCATGTGTCTCATGTTCAGACCTTCAGGGCAAACACACTTTGATCACATACCATGCACTTTCTAGGCTGGGTTATTTTATTTTGTGTGTGTGTGTGTTTTGGTTTGGTTTGTCTTACACTTTTCCCATTCTCTCTCTTGTGCTGGAGGTTGAGGTGGATGGTACAAACATCCAGGAAATCCTCAGGTCAGAACAGCTCTGATTACCATTCTACTCAATGTACAACCAAATTCATACATTCAGGTTACTCTGCCCTTGCTGTCTCTGGGACAGCACAGGGAAATGGATGGTCTTTGATGCAGCACAAACAATACTATTTTTAGGATTATGAAGCCCTACTTCTGAATATTCTTCAGGTACTTGGATGCTTCTATCTTGCTTCATCTTGTTTACTCTTGTAATCATACTTCAGTCTAGATTTTTAGAGGTGCCTTAGCTCCCATTAACGTTCTGTACTTCAGAAAAAACCTTCCCAAAACCCCAAATAAGCAAGAAAACCACCCTTTGTGGCTCCTGCTCTGCAGAGAGCGCAGAGCAAATAACGACAACAATGATGAAATTAATTAAAAATTTGCTTACCTGGGGTTTACTTTGGTTGTGAAGGTAGGAACATGCTGCTTAGGAGGAATGTTTGCCTTGTCAGTGTGGGATTGCTGTCTGTCCCTGCTGCAGAGCAGAGGCCCGGGAAGGCAGCAGCAGGATGGTTTGGAGGGGTTTGCCCTCCTCTCCCCTTCAGTGCCTGTTGCTGTGCCAGTGCAGGCAGCAGGAACTGGGAGGGATCCCAGGGAAAGCTGCTCAGCTCCCTCCTCACCTTCAGTGCTTCTCAGCCCCTTGAAGAGCCACGTTTCTCTCACTGCTCTGGCACAAAACTTAACTGTGCCTCAGGAAATGAGTCTCGATGTGCTGGAAGTGGTGCAACAAGTTTTACAGTTTCAGTGCAAACTGTCAGATTTTTGGCTGGCACAGGCTCTGACTGCACACACTTCCATGGAGCAGTTGTGGAGCCAGTCCTGGGGTTCTTGCCCAGCAGTGCAGCTCAGTGGGTGGGCATGGGAGGGGAGCAGGCGAGGGGTCATGCAGGCTGTTATCCTGTGGCCAGGGCTGACAGGAGGGGTGTCTGCAGCTCAGGATCTCGTTCCCTTGCACAGCTCACACCAGGTCAAATGACCAGTGCAGTAATTAAAAAAAAAAACAAACAAAAACTAAAAGGCAGATTTAGTGACCTGGAGGAGAGTCAGGTACTCTGATGGTGCAGGTGAGTGTTGCTGCAACATCCTCAGCAAAGGGATGCAGAACACTTAACATTCCAAATTTAACTTAATGGAAGCCTAATTTCCTGACTGTATTTTGGTTTTTTTTTCCTCCTAAGTGGGCAATATACCTCGAATACAAGTCCCTGTCTTAAATTTGTGTTGTGCTCTGCATCTTAGGAGATGTACATGGGACTATCTTTGGATTTAATGATCCGGGGAGAGAATTACATTGGCAGTTCCCAGGAACTCCTTTGTGATGAGGATTCTCATTTAACAACTTGTTTCCAAAGTGAAGGGGAGATGCAGGAGGCTCTTGTTTTCCCCCCCTCCATGTTCCCTACATGGTGCTGAGTAGAGCTTGTGTCTCTGTCTTGGTGAAGGACAGTTAGTCTGGAACTCTCCAGGATGGAGAATGTGCTTCTGCCTCTTTCCCCACATCCCTGAGTGACAAAGGAACAGCAAACTCTGGGGATGTGGGAACAGGCTTTTTTCCTTCTTCGTGTTCCTTTAGGTTGGCAGGTACTGAACACCAGAGGATAAAAAGAATCCCCCTGTGCTGACACTGTGGGGACCCAGTGAACAGGACTGGAAGGGGACTCACATGGGTACAGGCAAGGCAGGTCCCTGGCAGAGTGACTGGGACAGCAAGAAGGGATTATTTTGGGTTATTAGGCTGCCTGTTCAGCTTTCAAGGACTTTGTGCACAACAGGATATATATACACAGAAATGACCAGGTTTGGGGAGTGTCCTGCCCTGTGCAGGTGTTGGGGAGCTTCTCCTCAGGCTTCTAGTTACAAGCAAATGCTTTGCTTTCATCCAAGACATTGTAGGACGAGGCTGTCTGTCCCATCTGTTAATATTTGAGTCTCACAATGTTCACTAGAAGCCCTGTGGAGACAGTGCTGTGTTTTTTAGTCTCATTCCCTGAGCCTCCATCTCCATCCCTGTCACTCGTGTGTGCGCTGTGACATCCACACTCGTGCCTCACACCCAGTGGTGCCATCGTGGCTGGGACATTAGCAGCTGATTTTGGGCTCCTGAACTGAAGTGGATTGAGATACAATGGATACAGAGTCCAGAAGATATTTGAAATATAAATTATAGGGGGGAAAATGGAACCCAGCAGCTTTGGTCTTTCTGAACCACAGTGATTATGGTCCACACTGGTGGTGGCTTTCTCTGAACAGGAAATATCTGCCTGAAATACCTGCTTTAATGTAAGGTTTGTGCATGTTTCACTGCTGTTGGGTTGTGCCAGGCCCAGGAAGGGCTGGGTATGATCAGCTGGAGGCACCAGGTCCTGCTGTGCCCCGTGCAGGGTGTCCCACTGTCCCAGTGCTCTGCAGCTCGAGATCTCCTCCTCCTGGCACAGAATGCATGGAAATCCAGCTCCAGGTGCATGGCCACGTTACTGGGGGTCAGTGGGAATCAGTGTGTGGGGGTGGCAAACAAACCAGGGGGAGAAAACCAGTTCTGGGACTTACCTCTGCACTTCAGTGGCCCAGGTGAGCAGAGGCACCTCCCCAGGACCTGGGCACAGGGGTCTGGAGAAGGTGAGAGGTGCCAGGGGACACAGTCCCGGGCTGGGTGAACACAGGAGCACTTTCAGGTGCCAGTACCCTCTGGTTGGTAACCTTACAACCAGTTTCTAGGAGATGGAATTCTGAACACCAACCTAAACTGAGGTTCTGTGGGCAATGGGAAGTGTGATGCCCCCCCCCAGGAGATGTACACCCTGGAGCCTGCATGTGCACAGGACACAATGTGCTGCAAACACTGATAACCTGAAAGCAACCTTTGATAAACTTTTATTGCTTTTTTTCTGTTGTTGTTGTTGTGTTCTATATCTGTTCTCTCCAGGCTTCGTGGACCCGGCCCGAGAAACAAGAGGTATAAGATTACCAGACCTTTAGCAAACTCCTTAGGTTTTTGGTTTTGGTTTCTCTTTAAGCATTACAAGATTAACAAACCTCTAGTCCAGTAACCAAGCCAACTAAACGAGCATTAATATGAACAAGTTAAATACCAGCACATGAGAGAAACAGCTTCTAGAATTAGAAATTACTTGGCCTGTAGTGCTGCATTTTTGGATGAGCAAACTAGCTGTGTTGGGAGTGAGTAACCCTGCCACTTTAAAGGAAAAAAAGACAATTAAAAGTAAAAGCAGCTGTAAAATCTGACAGATCCTGCTTTCCCCATGCTGCCTCTCTTGGAGATTGAAGATTAGCACCAACGTGTTCTGGGGAAGGATTTTTCCCCCCAAGATAATTCTCCTCTGCTCCAGCCAACTCACCTATTTGCTCATGGTGCTCCTGAAGCTTGACCTTCTCTTAAAGGACAACTGCATCATGTTCCATTTCCAAATCAATGCAGATAAACCTTTCAGGAGGTGTATTTCTCCAGAAAATGCTCCAAATTGCTCAATTACTCTTTGATTTGCAAGGGTCAGTGAGGGGGGGGGTTGGTGCAAGTGGGGTTCATTGCTTTTAATTTCACAGTCAGTACTGTACTGGAAAAACAGTAATAATAATAATAATAATAATAATGAGAATAACCTACCTTTATGTGCACCTGATTTGTAACACTTGCTTCAAAATGGACCAGAAAGTTTGTTTCCAAGCAAATAATAAGGGTCAGGTAGAGAACAAAATGAACCATCAGAACTGGGGGGGCCTCATATATGTATTTTTAGGATCGACTTTGTGGAAGCTCTGGGTACCCTGATTTTTCTTTAGCTATTTTTAAGCCATCCTAAACCACAGAGCCTGGTGTGGCCTAAATAAAGTAAAGCTGTAATTTAAACACCATCCACCTGTGTTTCATGTGGGGCTGAGAAGATCCTGCCCCCTCTTCCTCCAGAATAATCTGTTGGAATAGATGTATCGTGGCAAGTGAAGGCATCAGATATTCAGAGCAGTTTGCATTGAAGAATTTGGAATCTGAGTAGTTGCATCTTCAGGACTCCTGTTAATTCCTGTGACAGTTGTCTCTGTCCCCCCCTGCCCCCAGTGTTTGCTCTGGGCTCTCTCTCTCTCCAGCTTTTGATTAATAAGAGCACTAACACTATTAAGCTTTGCTGCCTCTACATTCCTTGCTGCCTCTGTGTCTGAAAATCTCCAGGTGGGGTTTGGTGAGAATGTTGGTGAAGGTTTATCACTGCAGCTCGGGCAGGATATATCCTTCAAATCTCTTTTAAATTGCCTGGGGGCTTTTGGCAGGGGGTTCCAGCAGCAGGAATTCTGGGCTGGGGAAGTGCAAGGAACACTTGGCATCGAGTGTTTCACTCTTCCTGAGGGTGAGGAAGGTGAGGAAGGTGAGGTGAGGGAGTCACAGCAGCACAGCCCCAGTCCCACCACAGCTGGTGCTGCACTGGGAGTCAGGGCAGCCCTGCAAATATTGAAGGGTTGGGTTAGGGCAGGGCAAGCACAGAGCCAGGAGAGACCCCTCATCTTCCTTCACTGCAATTTGTACCTGTGGGCAGGATTTCCAGGTGTTCTGTGGTGGTGGGAAGTGGGGGAGGAGGAGGTAGGACTGTGTGGAATTAAGTCAGGGATCCTTGTTTGTGGAAGGACTGAAAACTCCAGAAGGTGGAGGGCAGGGGGATAACAGCATTTTATTTGCCTCTCCTCTTCCCCTTTGGCTCTGGGGTATTGAGCTCTGGGCAGGCTGTGCCCACAGTGACTGTGCCCCAGGGATGGGCACAATCTGGGGAGAAACACCTTGTGAATCTCAGGAGGAGCTGCAGTGGTTGGCACTGCAGAGACCCCTCCCACCCTGCTCTGCTGGGGCAGAAGCTCCTGCCTGTGTCCCTGAGGGGGTCTCCCCATTTCTAGGAAGCACTTTGTAATCCAAAATCCTTGAAATCAAGGAGACAAGGTAAAGGATTACAAATGTCTGTATCTGGCTCACAAGTTTCTACCTGTCCTGTCTCCAGCAGCCAGGAGTTGTTGGCATCTGATGGGCTGAAACAGGAATAAAGAGAACTAGTCGTGTGCTTTCTTGGGTAGATGTTTTTCTCTTCTTTAGGGTATTTCCCCCCATCTTTCTTTTTCTTTTCCTGTGCCTTTTGCATTAAGAGACAGAGCTTCATCTTCAGAACCAGTTGCATTCCTTGTGCAGTTGTCCCTGGCACTCTGTCTGTGTTAGACCTTGAGGAAGTGGGGAAAAGGCAGGTGACACTTGGATGTAAAATTACCTTTTGCAATATTTTGGTTTCAGAAGTGGGTTTGGGAGTCAAATCACAAGTCAGAAGGATGGAGTTTGTGGCACTGGTCAGGGATTGCAGGAGACCTGTGTGCAGGGTAGAAGAAAGGAAAAAAAAACCACCTATAATTGGTTTTGTGTCATCGAGGGATCCTGGTTTTGTGCACGTGAGATTGGACTGGCTCAAATGGGCTGATGTTAGAACTAACAGAGGGAAAAATCACATTTGCTCGTAGAAGCTTTGTCAGAGACCACAAACTCAGCACATAAAGAGGTTTCAGGCCCAGGGCTTCTGAACACCTGAGACACCAGAGCTGTGCTTTGTGCTCCAGCTCAGGGCACTTGGCTGTTTAAAATCCTCAGGGCTTTTTAAAGCATAATCTTAGTGCTTGTCCTGTACCTTCCAAGAAAGCAGATGCTCTTGGAGTATGAATTGCAGGAGGAGTGGAGGCTGCAGCAGCAGACACAGCCAGGATGGGACCAGATTTATTCCCTTGTGCCACTTTGGAGAGCGGATGAGACAGTTGGTGCTTTAAAGCTTCCAAACTGGAGCACGAGGGTGGAGAGAGGGTTTGAGTGGCCTTGAGTGTATTAACAGAGCACTTGGGTTTGGTCCCAAACTGGAGGGGAAACAAGCCCAGCCTGGTGTGGGATGGGATGGGTGGGCACAGTCCCTTGGAGCAGATGGTGGCCTGGATTTTACATTCCTGGTCTCTCCATCAGTGACATCTCCACACTTTCTTGCATGTGGGAGGTTGTTCTAGAATTTTCTTGAAGCACCACAAGGCCTTGAAGCAGGGCTGTCTCTACAAGGGTCTTGTAGTTTTCTTGCCCTCATCTCTCTTCCTGTGCCCCTCTGCACTTTTCTCTGTTCTTGTGCCATGTTCAGGTGGAAGTTCTGAGCTTTCTTTTTGCGTGACTCTACTCTGAATTCTGGATCTGTTCTTATTAATGCCATTGCAAGGACACTGAAATAAACCCAGTGTTGGTGAGAGAGCAGGAAGGGCTGAATTCTCTGAGGGGAAGCACAGTAGCCACTGGGGAGGTTTCCTTTATTTCCTTCCACGCTGACAAAAACTTCCAACCAGAGCCGGATCTCTGCAGTTCTCATTCTGGGGAGGAGCCTGACTTTGGTTGCCCTCAGATCTTCGTAGTAGCACCTGATACTCTGGTCCTTCATCTCATTTTTCCCCCTTCTCCTGAGTGCTCTGAGTCACTGCAGTTGGTTGGCCCCGTGTGACCAGGAACCTCCCCGCTGTTTTGGAAGTGCCTCCCTGCGCCCTCCGGCCTCGGGTGCCCCCCTCCCAAGCCCTGAGCCCAGCAGGGTTGGCGTGAGCTAGAGCTGCCCTTGTTGGCACCCCTGTAGTGTGCAGCCCCGGGTCGGGGCTCAGCCCCTGACGGGTTTTCCCTCCCTGCAGACCCTGGACGGGCGGATCATCGTGCGCAGCCACGCGCGGGTGTCGTCGCTGACGCTGAAGGAGATCCAGTACACGGACGCGGGGGAGTACGTGTGCACTGCCAGCAACACCATCGGCCAGGACTCCCAGGCCATGTACCTGGAAGTGCAGTGTAAGGAGCAGAGCCTGGGCTGGGGAGGGGGTTGGCAGGGGGCAGCGTTTGGGTTCCCTTTCCCCGTGGTGACACCGAGGTGCCTCCGGCTCAGGACGTGCCTGATGTGGAGTTTGAGGGTGTGGGAGGCAGCTCAGCCTGAACACATTGAGCTGGAGACATTGTTGGGTGCCTGTCTGCAGCTGGGCTGCTCTGTGCACATTGGGAAGGGTATGGACCATGGATCTGCTGCAGTCCCATTTGCTGGGTGCAGCAGAGTTCTTCCCTAGAAAAACTTCCTGGCGTAATTTCTGTTGTGGTTTGAGACTCCTAAAAATCCAATTTCCGAGTCCAAGCCCCCCTCCCACAACTCACTTCAGTGTGAGAGGGGTTTTCCAGGCAAACCACAAGATTTAATATGGGGGGAAGGGAATTATATTACAATAATCACACAAATAAATATTATAATGCATTATATACACAATCCTAATTATTTCTCCTATGATAAAGCAGTATTTTCATTGGGTCAAATCTCTTTTCCCTCCAATAAAAGTCCAGAAGGGAAGAAGGAAAGATCCTTTCCACGTTCAGGACAGCAGTGTCTCTCCTCTTCAATGCAGCAGTTGGAGTTGGAGTTGTAGCTGGATCTGATCTGTCTCCATTACCATTTCCTGGGTGCATCGTGCTGTCTGCTCCTCCCACTCTGCACAGGAGCAGCTTTGGGATGGAGCAGGTCTCCTCCTTATGTCCTTCAGCACAAGACACTCGGAGAGGACAGTTCCCATTTCCTGTGTTAGATTCCCTTTCCCACACTGAAGTGGACCCCAGCCAAGGGATCCTTAGAGTGAGGCTGCCTGGGCTGCTTTAGGAGATTGGCTCCAATTGCCTTCACAAACGTCTGTCTTGCAGATGCCCCCAAGCTCCAGGGCCCCGTGGCTGTGTACACCTGGGAGGGAAACCAAGTGAACATCACCTGTGAGGTGTTTGCCTACCCCAGTGCTGTCATCTCCTGGTTCCGGGACGGGCAGCTGCTCCCCAGCTCCAACTACAGCAACATCAAGATCTACAACACTCCCTCAGCAAGTTACCTGGAGGTGAGGAAAGCCAGGGGGGAAGGAGGCATGTGCAGCCAGGGAGGCTCAGATAATTGATGTTCCTGATGCTGAAGGGGTTAAGTCTTTTGCAAGGGCACCCTGTTGGTAGCAATGAAGTTGTGTGATGTTTGTGGCACATCCCTGCTGAGAAAATCAGGTAATACAGGACACAACCCCCTCCCTGCCTTTGGGTTTTGCCCACTGCAGTTCTCCCCCGTGGACAGCCCTGGGAGTGCCAACACCTGGACTTTGCTGTAGGGTCCCTCCAGTTAAAGGAGTGCTTTGGCAGAGTGAGAAGGGGGTTCTGATCCGAGCATGAGCCTTCATTCCTCCCACAGGTGACCCCAGACTCGGAGAACGACTTTGGGAACTACAACTGCACTGCCGTGAACCGCATCGGCCAGGAGTCCTCCGAGTTCATCCTGGTGCAGGCAGGTGAGCATCCCAGGCAGGAGAGCAGGGAATGAAGCGTGTGGGGCGTTGAACTGAGGTGACAGAGTGGCCCTTCTGTTGTAGTTTGTGTTCAGCAGGAGAGCCAGCTTCTGCTTTCAGGGAGGCTGTTCCACATTCTGTGCTGTACGTGCTCAGTATCTCTGTTTCCTTGTTTCTGGAGGGTCTCATTCTTTCCTGTGCTTCCAGCACACCTTGACAGAGCTGTGATCTGTGATTTCTGACAGACATTGCATGTGTGTGCACAGGGGCTCCCCCAAATCAGCAAAATACCCCTGGTGGTACAGGGAGTGCACAATACAAACCCCAGAGCTGACCCAGCCCAAGGGGCCATGTCTGACTGCAGCACACCCTGGGAGGGTCTCTGAGATCAAGCTCTGTATTGCAGTGCCCCATGGAAGGACTGTAGGGACAGGAGAGCATCCAGGGTACTTTTGTTACACTGCTCTGGTTGTCCTCAATTAGAGAAGGGACTGTGAGTCTCCAGCCTCACAGAGAGGAGGCAAGATGAAGGTCTCTGCACTAATTAGCCTTCTTAAAAGCTGCTCCAAAGGGAGCCTCAGGCCCAACCTCCTCCTCTCCTTTGTGAAGCCATGCCAAGGGTGTCATTGATGTCCCCAGTTTGCTGCTTTTTTTGCCTGATCCCTCCTGTGTCTCTGTTCTCTTCCCTTCTCCCGCAGACACTCCGTCCTCCCCGTCCATCGACAGAGTGGAGCCCTATTCCAGCACTGCCCAGGTGGAGTTTGATGAGCCTGAAGCCACTGGTGGGGTTCCCATCCTCAAGTACAAGGCAGAGTGGAGGGCCCTGGGCGAGGGAGAGTGGCATTCCAGGTTGTATGATGCAAAAGAAGGTAGGACAACACAACCAGGTGGTACCTCCCCCTCCTGAACCTCCCCAGCCCGACTGTCCTTTAGGGAACAGCCACAGAGGAGGGTTCCACAGCTTTGCACTTCCACCTCCTGTAGTTATAAGGCCCAAAAATAGTTCTTAAACATTTGCTGTGCAGTGACAGGTTGTGTTTTCCCTGGGAGCTGAGTGTGCTGAGGGCTGTACCTGTGTGGCAGGGCACAGAGGGGGTGGGCAGCACTGTGCTCATCTCTGCAGCCCTTCCTTGTTCACACCATCCTCCCTGAAGGAGGTGAGGAGCCCTGTGCTTGGAATCAGATGAGTGTTCACTTGCTGGCTGGGGAGTGTCTGTGTGCTTCCCACAGAAGACTTTTCAAGCCCCTCAGTTGGCCTTGGAAAATAAACCCTCCTATTCCAGCAGCAAAGCTGCCTCCCGTTACACCCCATCTTGTTAAACCCATAGCACTGCACACTGCTTCAAATGGATCTGTAAGTCAAATAAACCAAACTCATTCTGATTTGGGAGGACTAGAGATTATCTCAGTTCGTTAGAGGCTGGTGCTAATAATGCCAAGGTTGTGGATTCAATCTCTGTGTGGGCCATTCACTTTGGAGTTGGACTCTGTGATCCTTGTGGGTCCCTTCCAACACAGCATATTCTGTGATGTTGTGACTATGAAAAGGAAACTTCTATTCCAGAGCTGAATCTTCCTCCACCAATCATGCCTGGAACTGAAATTCTTCTGTTAGGTCCCCTCTGGAGTGATGGGATCACACAGAGTCACGTTTATTCCTCTCTTTCCTCCCTCGTGTCTGTGCAGGAAAAATAGAGCTTATTTCTTTCTTGTTATCACCACGACCCTTGAGCTTTTCTTTGCTTTCCTTCCCTTGTTTCTGCCCCAGCCAACGTGGAGGGCACCATCACCATCACTGGCCTGAAGCCTGAGACCACCTACTCGGTGAGGCTGTCTGCTGTCAACGGCAAGGGCGTGGGGGAGCTCAGCCTGCCCTCCGAGTTCAAGACACAGCCAGTCCGTAAGTGAAAGCCAGCCCTGCCCTGCCCCTCTGCTCACCTTCAGTCTTTCCAGGGAATCTCTGCCATGCATGGAATGACACCTCCTTGTCTCGCAGGCCTGGCTGCACCCCGTGTTCTCGGGGTGGCTTTGGGTCGTGGTGGGTTTGGTGGCTCATTACAAATCACCCTGGGAGGGAGGAGGCAGAGGAGCTGTTTTACCTGCACTGGTTGGTGCCCTGGGCTGCCAGAATGGACTTGGTGTTGCCAAAGAGAAGGGACTGTGTAAGGGGCGATTTAAATAAGGAAAAGCAGTTGAGGAGGGTGTTGGTCCTGGAGAATTTGATGGCACTGGCACAGGGCAGGTTTCCTTTGCAGATCAGAAGTGAAGATGTTCAGCACATCGAGGCCATGAGCTGGGGAGGGAGGGGGGTTCCCTTTTCTGCACATCCCTGCTTTAAGGTGCCCATCCACGAGGGGATTCCACAGCCTCTGCTGTGCTGTACTGGGCCATCTTCCAGTCCAGGCACAGACTGTGGCCCAACACTGTCCCTCCTGTTCCAGCCAAGAATGAAGGTGGCAGGAATTCAAAATCAGAGTTATTCAAGATGGGAAGGAGAGAAAGAAAAGGAGCAGAGTGGGCTGGGGAGATGTGACAAAAGCAGGCAGGGGAGAGGTGGTGGTTCTGTGGTTCTTCCTTCCCATTCCCCTGCATCCTGATCTTCAGCCTGTTCTTCTTCCCACCATCACACCCAGACCTCTGTCCCGTTCTGCAGCTCTTCTGAAGCCACTCTGAACTCAGAGCAGTTCCCAGCCCATCAGGTGCATGTTTGGAGGCCCCTGGGCTGTGCATGGTCTTGGTTTTTGTCTGCCAACTTGTGCCTCCCCAGAGCTGCTGGGCAGAGCAGTGTGGGGCAGGACACCTGTGGGATTTTGATTTTCCAGCTCCCTGTTCTCTGTCTCCTCTTCTCACATCTTCTACATTTTTTTTGTGTGTCTATCTCTTGTCTTTTTATTTTTTTGGTCTGTGTTCCATCCATGGATAAACTGCAGGCATCCCTCACCCACGTAAGTGCTCTCTGCATTTCTTTCACTCTTTTATTTTTTTATTTTTTTTTGTTCCTCTAACATACAGAACATTAGCTTTTAATTTAGTGTCTTTTTCCTCTCAGGGTCTTTAGAAATGGAGTAACTGGTAGTGTCCATTTCCTAACAAGACTGACTCTAGAATAGTCACCCTGCTCTGGGTGATGCTGCTCTTTTTTAGAACAGAATTAGGGCTTAACATATTTGTCTTTAGTGTAAAGCATGCAACTGAAATATTTAACATAGTGATTGTCGAATAATAATAATAGATAGTGTATTGACTACAGACTGGAGTAGTGGAAGGCTTCATATTTATGAATCCATTAAAATCATTAAATTTTAATAAAATACAGATAATCCAGGGAAACCGAAGAGGAAGAAGTTTTAGGTAAACTTTAAGTCTGGTTTAGACCAATTAAGAGCCAACCAAAAACTTCTAAATTTTTAATATCTTCACAATTTTGAAAGCAAAAACTTCAAGAGAAAAAATTCCCCTTTTTTTGCCTCTTCTCACCAGTAATTTTTACCATTAGTAGTCTTTGGACAGTCTTCCAGCACTTGTGTAGATTGTGTACTTAAATAAACCTCATACTAAATGAAAAACAAAAAGCATGTTTCCCCCTTCCCAATGCAAAGTGAGTCAGAAATGTGATGGATGTGTTTAATTGTCAGTGAAACACTGGGTGCTCCATAGCTTTGTGCTGTTCCAATCACAGCTAATCAATGGAGCCAAAAGAAACCTCTTCATCTCAGAGAGCATTATTCTCTTTATTAATGTGTCCTTGCTGTTATTCCCAAGATCCCATGGACAAGCTTGGGGAAGCTGCTGTCACATCCTTTGAGATTTCTGAAGCCGAAGTAAAAGAACCAGGAAATCATTTTTATTTTTAACCCAAATTCCCGTGTTTAAATCACACCTGTGCTGTTTTTCCTTCCAGACTGTTTTATACAAAAGCTTGGACACAGTGGAGCAGTGAGAGGATGGCTGGGTTGGTAGTCAGGGTGGATGAATGAAGGGACAGATGGACAGACAATTGCAAATTGCAGCAGTTAGAGAGTCACCTGGGAGACATTTCCACAACATATGTGCAGTCTGGGGCCTGCAATTGTGTGGAGCCTGTTAATTGCAGCAGAAGTAATTATATCCCTTCTCTGAAGGTAATCATGGAGAGTGTTACAGCGCCCAGGGTCTGGGGAGAGTCCAACACAGCAGTGAGAGCCAGGGGAGATCAGGGCTGGGGTGTGCACATCAGGACTGCAGGAAAAGGGGGAAAAATCCAATTAAGAAGCGAGGAAAAAGACCATTAAAAGCTTTGTTTCAGCCCCACCGTCAGATCTGCCTGCCAAGCCTCATGTCCATCACCTGGGGACAGGTGTGTGGCTCTGAGGAGCATTAAAGCACAGTTGTTGGGGAGTCTTTTGGTGGTTTTTAATGTGGCAGCAGGCTGCCAGTCCATAGCCCCCAGCTCTGCTCCCCTGTAGGGTAAGTTCCAGCTCTTCTCCCTTCTTTGTGGGCTGAACTCTATTTTTCATTTGCAAATTCTGTTCTGCTCCTCCAGGCACAGCCCCTGCTGGGATCCCTGGGAGCGCTGGGTTTGACACCCAAACAGCTCCATGTACAAACCCCCAACCCAACAAACCAACCCCAGAATAACCCCCAGACTCCAAATCCCTTCCCATTCTCCCTTTGGGCAGTTTTTCCCAGGAATCCCCTCCCCTCCTCACCTGCCTTTCTCTTTCCCCAGCGAGTCCTGCTGCACCCACCTCCCGTTTAGCAGAGAGTGAGTAAGGGCTGCCTTTGGTCCACTGTGCTCTGCATGATCTTCTCACTGGGTGTGCTGCAGTCTGCCTAACATCCCTGGGGGGTTTCCTAACATCCTTGGGTGTTTTTTCCTGCTCTTCTCTTCTTTTTCCCCCCAGCTCTCTCTCCATGGGGCTGCTCCCCAGCCCCTCAAGGTGCCTGATTTACCCCTCTCTGTCACTGATGGTTCTTGGGGTCTTGGAGGCAGGGCAGTGATAATTCTTTAAAACCAGAAGATTTTATGTGCAATAGTTGAGAAATCCCTCCCACAGCTTGTGTCTCTCCTGCTGTGTTCTTCCCAGGGCTTTTGGGAGCAAGGACATTCCTTGTCCTGTCCTGGCAGTCCCTGTATTTCCTGGTGCAGCCTGGACAGTGCAGGCTGGCAGCTTCTCTCAGAACTCACTCATTTCCCGAGGTGCTCCCACTTTCAGGGCTGTTAGTCCCTTTTCCTGCTCTCTGCATGTTCCCTGGATGCAGTGCATGGAGGTGGGAAGGAACAGGGAAGTCCTTTCCCTGTGGAGGGGGGACTGGAAAGCAGCAGCAGGGCACAGTTTTTGCAGCCTCTTGAGGTAGCACAGCCCTGCCATGGGGATTCAGGTCATTCTCACTCTCACCAAAGCTCCTCTCTCTCCTTTCTGTCCCCCCTGCCCCTTCCCCTTGATTTCCACGGGTTTCACCTTGACGTGTCCTGTCCATCCTCCACGTTTCCATAGCAACAAGTCCTGCTGCTGAATCCCAAAGCCCAGAGGCACCGAGTGAGTAGCTGGGCAGTGCTGGGCAGTGCTGCCCGTGCTCTGGAGTGCTGCTTGTGGTGCTGCAGCCCTTGGGAGAGGGCATTAAAGTGCTGTATTGCCTCATCCCGGGGCCTGTTAACCAACAGTGTGTGGTGTGAGCATGGGGAGATCCCAGCATGGGGCCACTCTGCCTCCTCCTCCTCTCAGCCCTCCAAGCATGTGCTAAATAATGGAAGTGGAAGGTTTAGAAGGAACACAGAGGGGGGTGGAGGTGGGGAAAAGAAATAGAAATTATCATTTCCAAAAGGAGTATTTGCCTTTGGCGTTCCCCATCAGTGATTTTGGTGTTAAAGCTGCCTTTGCACAAAGGGATGTGGACTGAAGGGTGTTCTTGCTGCCCTGCCTTGCTCTGTTCTCTTTGAATCCAGGGAGGTAGAGCTGATATTAAAAGTATGGGTGTTGGATGCTGAAAGAGATGCAAATGAGGAGGTAGAATATCTTAGAGGAGAGAGGGAGCTTTGCCCCGTCTTACCACCAGTGCCCTGCTTGCCTTAAAAGAGGTGTAAACTTCCCAAGAAATCCTACCTGAGAGGGGCCTGGGTTCAGATTCCCTCAGTTCTTGCCCATCCCTTGCTGTCTTGGCAGCCATTCGTGGTGAGGCTGGATCTGGGTAGTCCAAGGAAAACCAGCTGAAAAAGTTGCATGAGTTGATTTGTACCCAAAATAACCATTTTGAAGTGTCTGCTTTGGCCTGCTCAGACTCCAGGGCCACCCCTGCCTGGGACTGAGTGGCTGTGTCACATGGGTGACTTTAATCCCTGCCTGGAGGAGATTTGCAGTCGCTCACATGTCCATAGAAAAGCCAAGCAAATACCTGCAATAAAATAGTGAGAGAAATAAAAAACCCCTTAAGGAAGAGGCAGGTTTTCATGGTGCATCCGTGTGTTTTGAGCAGCTAATCATTCCTGCAAGGCCAAATGCCTCTCCTTTGGTTTGCAATAACCAAATGTCTGTGTTTCTGGAATGTGATCTCCAGGCTGGAGACCTGCAGTGGGTCAGAAATGGGTCGTTGCTTCTAAATGGAAAATACTAAAAGCATGATGTGTGTGATTGTTCTGGGGGTTGGGATGGATGGTATGGCCAGTAAAAGGAATTAATCCCCCATAATTATTGCTACATTTATGACTGGCACATTCTGTCGTCTAACCCATGTCCTTTATCTGCCAGTGGCCACAGCCAACGAGTTCCTTCTTGCAGGATATTTTATTTGTCCAAAGTGCCAAACCCCAGTTCCTGATGCACTGGAGTGCTGGGGGTTCTGAATTGCTGAGGAGACTTTTTAATTCTCATCACACCTGGAGGATGGGGAGGAGAGGGCGAAGGGCAGAGCCTGTAATAATCC